AAGGAAAGAAGGAAAGAAGGAAGGAAAGAAGGAAGGAAAGAAGGAAGGAAGGAAAGAAGGAAGGAAGGAAGGAAAGAAGGAAGGAAGGAAGAAAGGAAGGAAAGAAAGAAAGAAGGAAAGAAGGAAGGAAGGAAAGAAGGAAGGAAGGAAGGAAGGAAGGAAGGAAGGAAGGAAGGAAGGAAAGAAGGAAAGAAGGAAAGAAGGAAAGAAAGAAAGAAAGAAAGAAAGAAAGAAAGAAAGAGAGAGAGAGAGAGAGAGAAAGACGGAAAGAACGAGAAAGGGTGACCCACCCTTGGCCATGTACTCGGTGATGATGTAGATGGGCTCCTCCTTGGTGACCACGGCGTACAGCCTCACCAGCTTGTCGTGCTGCAGCGTCTTCATGAGGTTGGCTTCCTCGAGGAAGGCTTGCACAGACATCGTGCCTGGCTTCAGCGTCTTCACCGCCACCTTCGTGCTGTTGTTGTAGTAACCTAGAAAGGAAAGGAAGGCATGCTGCGTCAAATGGAAAATTCAAAACTTTCACTCCGTAGATGCAGAGTTAGAAAACAATTCAGTTATGAAAAGAGAAAGTCTTAGATTAAACACTGTAGAGTGTTAAAATTAGGGATGGCTGGATGAAGGGTAAATGGGAATGTTCGTTCTTTGTAAAAAGTCTAGAATTCACCGAAAACAACAACATTTTAAGTAAAATAACAGAAAAAATGCTACTCGCACTCCGTATGAGCGCGCGTGGGCACACACACACGCAGAAACCACGCCATGGTCCCCACTTAAGAAATATCAGCCTATTTTATAGACACACACAGAGGTCACGATGTGGCAGAGAATACACCAAACTATACACTGAATACTGACTATCTCTAATCATTCGATGAAGTTTAATTTTGTTTGCCATACTTTTAACCATTTACCAAATTTTTAAAATGACTATGTTATTTTTGTAACCTGAAAAAGTGGTGTACACACACACACACACACACACACACACACACACACACACACACAAACTTTGGCAGAGTCAAATGAGCATTTCCCAGAGTTTGCTGAGACCCTGGGTCAAGGGCCTCTCTGTGCGGAAGTGTCTGGTACTGAAAGGGAGCACGACCGGCCACCTCTCTGTGCCCTGGAGACGCAGCGGGCACGCTGGCATCCTTCCCAGAGGGAAGCTGGATGGACTCGCCTGTTTTCCTCGCTGTCTTGACCACAGGATACCTGCTACGTACCTCGTCATAGCTCACGGGACGCCCTCTGCGAAATCCTGACTCTCTGATGCAGTTCCCTCAAAGCATCATATTTTTGGAAGCTGTCTCAATGAAGAGGTTCATTTTAATCCTGAGTTATCTCTTGGGAAATCCTTGTCTCCGTGGTTTGGCAAAGCAGGAATATGAATAACCATGCCCCATTTTCCTTTTCTATTTTCATATGTCTCTTGAAAGTGCAAAAAACAAAGACAAGGAAGGAGGAACAGCTGGTGCTATCCCACTAAACCCCTCAGCTGGTCACTGCTGTTGGGTACCCTGCAGCTTTGGAGAACCTGCCCGATGCAAGGTGACGAGGGGCCCATAGTCACAGGGTCACCTCAGTGTGTGCAGCGTACAGAGCTGGTTGGAAGATGCTCAGTAAAACAGTAGCAATCACCTCGGAGTGGCCGAACTTTTTCCCCTTGTTCTTATTCTATTTGGATTCATCTGTCAGTGAGAATCTACCTTTTCAAAATAAATCATGTGTTAAAAGAAAATAAGTTCATTTTCAATTTCCAAGCCCACAAATAGGCATGAAAAAGTATAAGTCTATAGTCAATTAGTCATGTCTAGCTATTGAATTTTCTTCTGGACATTCAGACTGATTTCTCAGGGCTGGTAATGTAGCTCAGAAGCAGAACTTTTGCCCAGCATGAATGAGATCTGGGTTTGATCCCAGCATTGTGCCTCCAAGATGAATTTATTTATTAAAATGTTTCCTTTTCAATTCTGCTTATAGTAATAGTCTGCAGCATCTTATAGCAAAATGAAGACGGCAGTATAAAATCATAATTTGAACATATGGAGGACATAGTAAGAGAAAACTGACAAAAAACTGTCCTAGATCCTTCTTGAAAGCTACCACCTACACAAAATAGTAGAATAATACATATACTAAGTTGATTTGCTATCCAAATGCACAATTATAAGCAAGATGAACTTTTCAATAGGTCTTGAAAGTAACTTTCAGGTAAATTCCAACAGCAGTACTTTACAACTACATTTGAACCAAGAAAACTCCATTATAAACTTTTTATTAATATATAAAAAGGTCTTCAGTTACATGAGTATATCAAGAGCAAAGTATAGTCTATGAACAATTATGAATTAATAAGTAAAACAGAAAAGTAGGTAAAGGCTTGGATGGGCATTTCAAAAAAGAAGAAATTGCTGTGACTAACAGGTGCTCAATTTTATTAGTAACCAGAGAAAGACACTTTGGAAAATAAGTTAATAGTATTTAGTAGAGACAAAGACTTACAAGGTAATCTGTGGGGAGTTGGCCCCTGGCCCTTTGTGGACATCAAAATCTGAGGATCCTCAAGTCCCTTACATAAGGTGGCTATTTACACCCAATCCACATACTGTGTATCTTAGAGTATCTCTAGATGACTTACAACACTGGATACGATACAAATACTGCATAAGTCATAGTTAAGACAGTACTCTTAGAGAATGAAGACAAGGAGAAAAGCTTGTGTCTGTTCTTCCCAAATGTTTTCCTCCCACATTTGCTTGAATCTGTGAACACAGAACCCAAAGATATGGAGGGCTCAATCCATCCCTCATTACCCTACAAAAACCCATGGCAAATATTCAGAGCACATTTCTCACCGTTGCCAAAACCTGTGAGCAACTCTTATTTCACCAGTAAAGAGTAAAAACAAATGAAGACATAAACCACTGCGTGCTTTGAATAAACACACAAGCAACATTAGAAGGCAATGAAGACAGATGAACTGTATCTACACCGGAAACATGGATAAATCCACACAGATTTCTGGAAAAGAATACCTCACATTCAACATGATTCATTTATACAAAGTTCAAGAACAGGCAAAACTGGACAACAGTGTTTGCAGATATATACATCACCATATACAAATGTCCTAAAACTATATTTTAAAACAACCAGCGGGGATGTGGCTCCGTGGTAGAGCACCTGCCCAGCATGCAGATTCTCTGGTTTCAATTCCAGAACCATGGTGTCTTGGTTACTTTTCTCTCGCTGCTGGGACAAAATACTTTACGCCCAAAATGAAGGAAGGAAAGGTCTATTTCGCTTGCAGTTTGTGGAGGTTTCAGTCCATACTTGGCAGG